GTATCTCCGCGTGATCAGCGCGATTTCGATACCGCGAATCGGATTCAAATTCAAATTTCTTACAACTTGCGACTAATTTCCTATTTTCCCGACACTTCGTGATGTCCATTTATGTCGCGACGAGTGAGACCGCTACGGTTACCCAATATTCACGATATCTAATATTTGAGTGGTCCATATTTACCGAGCATACATTTTTCTCTCGTCCACGTGAAATAGAATGGGAACTGCCGTTGTACACGTCGCCCGACAGCCAGCTGCTGCTCAAATTGCACTTTCCAAGGAAAATATTCCCTCCCGTGAAACATATCGCTGTATCCGCGCGTCAAAACGCGGTAACACTTTGCGCAATGTTTACCTCCAAAAAACAAAGACGCGCTCCATCGCCCGTAGTCGAGTACTCTGTTAGGGAAATCCTCTCCTCGTGGATGGTTTACGTAACTGAGCACGCTAAAATATTGGGAGATTCGACCGAACGCGTAAACTGCAAATGGATATTTCATGCACAGAGAGAATATTATAGTTTCTGTTGTTTCTCACATATATAAATGCTTCTCAACTTTACCACGTTTTCACAGTAGTGCAGACAAACCATTAAGGTTTATCTTGCTAATGTCCGTTTCTACCAACTTTGGTCAACTTAACCGGTTAATTATTCCAATAGTAATTGATCAATCGCATTCTCGTTAGTCAAAATTGACAGATGCGATTGGTCAATTCCGTTGGAATAATCAGTCAAGTCAACCAAAGTTAGTAGAAACGAGCATAACGAACATAGTAAAAATTAGCTGGACTTGGTTTATACGTGAGTTCGGAATGTTTTAATGTATTGAATTAAGTATGGAGGTTCAGATAGGAGAAATTACGTAGAAATGAGTGCGTAGATAGTATGCAATTAAAGGCGAAATAAGGGGCGTTAGGTAGGAAAGATTCAGGACGGAAAAAGAGCAATGTTGATAATAGAGGTATGTAGGTTATGGCGTCATAGGGAACGGAGTGAGGGTAGTGTAGGTAATGCAGTAAAGCTTAAATTAGCATGATGACGCACTGCTGATAAATGGAATTGATTTATACAATCCACTAGAAACGCGATGTTCAGGCAGACTCGACGCACAGGACGGTAAAGGATTAAGAACTCCCGCACACAAATTTCCGTAACCGTAGACGTAAGACATAAACTTGAACTAAAGAAAACCAATCAGAATATTGCTTTATCTTTGTGTACTCTAGAGAAAAATTAAACTGACGGTAAAACTGATTGTTATGCAGAAGTAATCCAACCTGTTGAAATTTTAGTTACTCAGCCTAAGTTCTAGTTACATCATTTCTATCTTCTTCTAGAGTAGTACGCAAAGATAAATATCCGGAGTGGTTCTCTAACTCAAGTTTACGTCTTACGTCTACGGTTACGGAAATTTATGCACGAGAGTCCTAATGTCGCACACAGGCGACTGTTCTGCCGTTCGATAATTATCGGAGTTCTCCAATTAGACGGGGTATAACGAAGAGGTGAGATCCCGCAAATTGTAAGTCGAGGGGCAGCCATGGGCCTCGTAAGTTGCACGTAATTATGTACAAAGTGTGTATCTCCCGTGTCTTCCAAAACACCATATTTGGAAGAACGACGTCGCAGCGATTACGCGCGGCTCACTAATGCGCGATCGCGCCCTCTCTCGCGATAGACGTTCCTCGCGAAAGAAAAAAAAAAAAAAAACATGGAAACAAGAGGACGGTGTACGGCGTCACTCCGCCACGATGTAATAAAGGAGCGTAAATTTCCCGCGGTAGGGAGGGTTTTCGCGTACAAAGTATGAGAACTCTTGAAATTCCGGGCAACTTATCTGTATGCCGCGCGCGGTTTTTTCTGCGCGGGCCGCCCGTGACTGGGATCGAAAGTGATGTCGATGAAACTAAATAACAGGGAAAGATAAGCTATGTCATACGGACGTCGTGCGTCGCCTGGACATCGTTAATCGGATCGGTTGTAATTACGTGCCTCGTAAATTTTAACGATCCCCGATCGAAATGGCCGATTCGGCGCACAAAAAAGTGGGCGTTATAATTGACAATGTGCAGCGTGCTACAATGTCAGATTTACGAGAAAGTCTCTCTCTCTCTCTCTCTCTCTCCCCCTTCTCTCTCTCTCTGAACCCCCTTTTCCCTCTCCTCTCTCTTCCTCTTTCTTTCTTTTGATTTGATATTGAAATTTACTGTTACTTGAATTATATAACAAATGTTGTTACACGACAACAATTAAATCGTAATATTTTTAATATACTGCGTTATTTTTAACTTTGACAATTAACAACTGCGTTATGCACTTAAGAGAAATCTTTCTAGAGCGTTTCATAAATGCTGCATCTCTCTGTCTCTTTCCCTTTACTCTCTCGTTGCGAAGGACGATACACACTGAAGCCTGTATTAATAATTGTTACTTGAAGTTTGCCTCACGTGAAATACTTAGATTTTTATTCAGAATTATATACAATTTCTCAGTTGAATTATATATATATATATATATATATATATATATATATATATATATATATATATATATATATATATA